CCTAAACAATCAATTGATAAAAATTATCTAGTGTAGAAAATGCAAAGTTGAGAAATATAACATTAAATAAGCAAAACGAGAAAGTAAAAATAAGACAAACGATCTTCAGAGTAAGTTGTACAAAAACGAATAAATACTAATACAGAAAAGCCCGTTAACTGTGAAACCAAAATCAAAGAAGGATTTTATATTAATATCGGATTTAGACGACACAAGTTAATAGCTTTGGAAACAGACAATATTATGGAAATTGTTTTGTCATTGAATAGGTAACATCAACATGTAACACGTGAATTTACAAGTGGTTTACATGCAACTTTAACTTGGCAAATAATAAATTCAGTCGGTATGGTTAAAGGCCGATTCGAAACGTTGTATGGCAACTATAGAAGTACTCGATTCACTACTGGGTAAATATATTATAGTGTTGACGTTAAACATTACAATAACCATTCAAACTTGTAAGATTTTCCTGTCGGCGGAGCCCAGAATACATTGACAGCACTTCTCGCAGAGGAGTAATATTCCCCACCAAGGAGAGACTCATAATTTGGATGCTTATAAATCCGACCAATGTTTACCTATAGACTCGAGTATAAACCCGACAGATATGTTTTCACATAGACTTGAGTATAAACCAGACCGTTATATATGTTATTCGCGGAAGAATAAGATCCATAGATATTAAACGAACAACCATCGTATCACATTGAACCATAACACAAAAAATACTATCAATAAAATTTCATCATTCCTCGTCGAAACCTTGAAGTTCATCAGACCTGCAACACTTTCATGAATTAGTAGAGAACACGGATGTTTAAATAAGACAGTTAAGCGATATTTACAAATCGAGGAAGATGAGAAATTTTGTAATGTGCCTTAAAATTGAAAGTTCTCATTACAAAAAAATTATCTCACGATCTACAGGTTATCCAGTAAAAAAGCAGTAAATTCAGAAAGACGAGAGACAACCGTTTGAAATTGGTGTCAACTGTATATTTAACAGTGTACGAGGAATGTATGTGGTACATGGCCGAGCTTAACGTGGGTTTCTTCGAGACCGTAGGCTCGGCCAAAAATATTCCCTTAGAACCCGCATAAGCGGGTTCGGGATCTGTCTACGTTCGGCAAAGCTTCGTCCGGGTTCCTCTCTGCCAAAGCAGAGAGTTCGACGTAAGTCGCACACAGTCAGAGACTGCTGAACGATTGCTCAAATTGGTGTCAACTGCTGTGACTGAAAAATTAAGGAAATATTTCTGCACATTTCGTCAGTCCCAATGTCGGTTGTTCTTTGGAAAGTATTATAACTTGACGCTCAAAATCAATGAGATCATACAATATAGGTAGAACGAAAGACAAAAGATGTCTGCAATAAACTTTAAATGACGAATCACAAGATGGAGCAGCAGTTAATCAATCATAAAAGAAACAATCGAAGTAATTAGGTGAGAGTCGAATGATTATTCAAGGTCATGAATATTCAAGATATTTATTCAAGGTCAATTATTCCTGAAAGATAAAACAGTGATAATAAATTTTTCGCTTTTTTACTAGCCCTCTAGATACAATCTTAAAACACATTTTCCTTTTCTTTTTTTCACCCCTCCCCTCATAATGACACACGTGAGTTGAAAGCTTAGGACAACATAACATGAATTTGAAGCAATTTATCCACACACCACATTTGAGAAAAGATATTCGTACATTTAAAAAGTCATTAAATTAATCGAGATAAAGTCGACATTGTTTTCAGTTGTTTGAAAGAACACTTCTTCCTAAATCTAATGAATTTAGACTTTATGTAAAGGTTTCCTTCAGATATGAAGACTATTTCCGGTGTAAAAAGTTCAGAAAGACTGTTTTACACAGTTCCCCCCAAAATTTGTTTCAATCGTTTCCTTTGTTAGACATTTCTTCTTTTGCCTGAAATTATTTATTGTTTCCACGAAATTCCGTACATCCAGCTTACAGGGGTCAATAACTGATCACCTAAAGTTCGCACAAAGGTATACTCTTTCACCTTACCAGAGCATTTAGTACATTTAAACAGTGTATGGAGCGTGTCACGAAAAGAGCGACACAGTTCAAAAAAAAAAAAAAGGACGGAGTAACACAACACAATACGCCACTGTGTAAATACAGAAGGTTTATATCTTAGAGCAACGACGAAAACCCGAAAGGTTTCGAAAATTAGAACGGCGTGTCGAGTGCGAATTAAATGAAGGAATCTTAAAAAAAAATTGACTTTATTGTACAGATTCCCCGATAGGGTGACATCGATGACAGTTGAAACGATACAATTTTCAATTTAAAACTGTATTTAATGGTTACATTCTTCAAGACACTGAGTAGGAATTATATCGGTTTGAAGAGCCGAGTTTGAAACCCAGTCTGGTTTGCTACATTCACTTACTCGTAAATATTAGTATGAATCCATCGCTTCTCCTCCAAACTATGGGTTTAATAGCAGGACAGACTGGGCCCTAGAGCTTTAGTTGGCAGCCAGTCTACCGCAGAAAGAAACGACATCGTACTGCGTTAAAATTTTCGCCTAGTCAGTCGAAAGATACATAATCGCCCATGTGCGTAGCGCGTATGGCACTTAACTGGTGTATATTTTGTCTTTTTCTTATTTCTCTTAAACCTTATTCCTACATCCATTTGCTCAAGATCACTAAGTATGTTGTGCGTTGTTTTCAGTCTGTCTTGCCTTCAATCTGTCCTGTGAGTATCAGATTTTCCAAACCTCTTTCCTTACTATATACCCTAGGAATTTCATCTGTCTGATATTGCGTATACGTTTTCTTTTTGTTTCCATTTTCTCTAAAACTTCGTCGATGTTCACATGATCGATCCATGGTATCCTCAACATGCTTTTGTAGAACCACGTTTCTGTTGCTTTGAAGAGATTGTCCAGCATTCACTGCCATAACATTTTTAATTCTTTCGTCAATGTCTTGATGAAAACGTTTTTCCCGATTGATTGGAGAGCACGCTTCCAACACATTACCCACCAACTGCCATCTTTGGGGACCCATTAACTGCCTTCTTTGGTGAGGGGGCATTTAAGACTTTCTTTATCCGTGAAAATCCTCGTACTATTCTCGTCCTGGTAAGATGTTAAATTACATCTGCGTCCTGGGTAAGACGTTAAACTACGTCCAGCAGCAAGGCCTCTGATTATGAGATTTTGAGGAGCGTGGAACCACCTGTTAATTGCAGTTGTTCCCAGGTCCACCCTGACCCGGGATGGTAGCACCTGTTTGGGTCCCAGCTATGGGCAAATAGTTAATTATTACCAGCAATACTTTTTTGAAAAAGAATTATGACCAGCAATACAATTTTGAAGGAAAAATATTACCAGAAACAATTTTTTTACAAAACAAAATATTACCAGCAATAAAAAAAAATTGTCTTCATTAAATAAACCATTGAGGTTGATATGCCGTAAAACAAAATAAACCAAACCAATCTAAACCAAAGAATATATATTCTATTCATACGAATTTATCCTAAAATGTTGTCGGCATTAAATAACCCATTGAGGTTGATATGCCGCAAAACAAAATAAACCAATCTAAACCAAAGAATACATATTCTATTCATACGAATCTATCCTAAAAATGTTGTCGGCATTAAATAACCCATTTAGGTTGATATGTCGTAAAACAAAATAAACCAAACTAAATCTCGAACTATTCAGAAACTGAAGGCTCATGTCTACAAAATAAAAAAGGGAGCCGATATCGGACACTATACGTGTATGTGCCACTCTATAGCTTCTCGGCCTCCATCCTGCATAGATCATGAGTGATGTCACTTTTAATATAGCAAGTAAAACACTCTAGGACGGTTCCTAGATACATTTTTTTGTTTTTTTTTTACCCCAAATAAATATTTAGATCACAGATTTCTAATCCTTTCCATACAAATAGACATGGCAGATAATCAATTGATAACCGTAAATATAAAAATCGCTCTCGTCTTTTTTCCAACATAGTCTTCCGCGTTATCAGTGCACTTAATCCAATAGTGAATGTTAATCATAGAGATCGAACATTATACAATGAAAATTTCAGATCAAATTTCGACTGTAGCAAGCTACAATCTCATTAATACAAACCTAATTCATATCAAATGCGAATGGGGCACTTCGACATGGTGTAATGGTTAACAAACTTGTCTTGTTAGATCAATTACGACCGAGTACCGAGTTCGATACTCGCTGAGTGCTCCACACTTTCAGCCTTGTGCCACATCTAAGCTACGCTTAGAAAATCATTGGGCACTTCCACATGGTATAACGGCTAACAACGTCGTCTTGCTAGATTAATTACGACCGAGTAATCAGTTCAATCTTCACTGGGTGCTCCACACTTTGGGCCTTGTGCTACATTTAGTTACGCTAATAAAATCATGTGGTGAAATGTTTAGCGAGCTGGGTGCCCCATATTTTCGGCCTTGTGCCACACCTAAGCTACGCTTAGGTAAATGGTTGGATTTTGAATTTCTCATGTGTCTAAACTGATAGAAATTCCGTTTCAGTTGAATTAAATCATTTCCATCCTACTTCTGCTATGAAAACAGGTCCAGAAATTCCTTGTTCTGTCAACTATGATTTATCAAATCTTGAAGGGTAACACAACCAGGGTGCTAATAAAAGGAAACATTCGCAGGCAATATGGTAGTTGTCTTGTTTCAAAGGTCGACAAAATAGGAGAAAAAAGAAGAAAGATACAAGGAGAACTCGCAAAATGCGATATAAAATCGAAGAAAAATTATTTATTTTTCACAACAAATAATTATTTTCAATGAAATCTTCTGTCTCAATTCAGTGCTATATATTAATCAAATAAATAAAATGTTATACAGGAAAATTTCAGATCAATATTCACTTAATTATTATGTGTCCGATTACGGAATTATTGATATGCATTCCCGTATAAAATGTTTTTAAACTAGTTCAATGCAAACAGAAATTAGAGAATTGAGATCTCTTATAAAAAATAATGTACACTAAAGAAAGAAACAAAGAAAGAAGAGCATATCAAAGAAACAAAGAAAGAAAGAAAGAAAAAATAACGAACGAACAATAGAAAGAACGAATGCAACAAAGACCCATGAAAGAAAGACAGAAGAAAAGAAAGACCCATGAAAGAAAGACAGAAGAAAAGAAAGACCCATGAAAGAAAGACAGAAGAAAAGAAAGACAGAAGAAAAGAAAGAAAGAAAGACAGAAAAAGAAAAGACAGAAGAAAAGAAAGACAGAAAAAAAAAGACAGAAGAAAAGAAAGACAGAAGAAAAGAAAGACAGAAGAAAAGAAAAACCCATGAAAGAAAGACACATGAAAGAAAGACAGAAGAAAAGAAAGACAGAAGAAAGAAAGACAGAAGAAAAGAAAGACAGAAGAAAAAAGACAGACAGAAGAAAAGAAAGACAGAAAGAAAGAGAAAAGAAAAGAAAGACAGAAGAAAAGAAAAAAATGAAAGAAAGAAAGAAAGAAAAGAAAGACAGAAGAAAAGAAAGACAGAAGAAAAAAAAACCCAAGAAGAAAGAAAGAAGAAGAAAGAAAGAAAAGAAAAAAAGACAGAAAGAAAAGAAAGAAGAAAAAAGAAAGAAGAAAAAGAAAAGAAAGAAAAGAAAAAAAAGAAAAACCCATGAAAGAAAAGACAGAAGAAAAGAAAGACCCATGAAAGAAAGAAAGACAGAAGAAAAGAAAGACACATGAAAGAAAGAAAATGAAAGAAAGACAGAAGAAAAGAAAAGACAGAAGAAAAGAAAGACCCATGAAAGAAAGACAGAAGAAAAGAAAGACACAAGAAAAAAAAAGAGAAGAAGAAAAGAAAAACATGAAAAAACCCAAGAAAGAAAGACAGAAGAAAAGAAAACACATGAAAAGAAAAGACAGAAGAAAAGAAAGACAGAAGAAAAGAAAGACAGAAGAAAAGAAAGACAGAAGAAAAGAAAGACAGAAGAAAAGAAAGACAGAAGAAAAGAAAGACAGAAGAAAAGAAAAACCCATGAAAGAAAGACAGAAGAAAAGAAAGACCCATGAAAGAAAGACAGAAGAAAAGAAAGACACATGAAAGAAAGACAGAAGAAAAGAAAGACACATGAAAGAAAGACAGAAGAAAGAAAGACACATGAAAGAAAGACAGAAGAAAAGAAAGACAGAAGAAAAGAAAGACCCATGAAAGAAAGACAGAAGAAAAGAAAGACACATGAAAGAAAGACAGAAGAAAAGAAAGACACATGAAAGAAAGACAGAAGAAAAGAAAGACAGAAGAAAAGAAAAACCCATGAAAGAAAGACAGAAGAAAAGAAAGACACATGAAAGAAAGACAGAAGAAAAGAAAGACAGAAGAAAAGAAAGACAGAAGAAAAGAAAGACAGAAGAAAAGAAAAAAGAAATGAAAAGAAAGACAGAAGAAAAGAAAGACACAGAAAGAAAGAAAAGAAAGAAAGACAGAAGAAAAGAAAGACAGAAGAAAAGAAAGACCCATGAAAGAAAGACAGAAGAAAAGAAAGACACATGAAAGAAAGACAGAAGAAAAGAAAGACAGAAGAAAAGAAAGACAGAAGAAAAGAAAGACAGAAGAAAAGAAAGACAGAAGAAAGAAAGACAGAAGAAAAGAAAACCCATGAAAGAAAGACAGAAGAAAAGAAAGACACATGAAAGAAAGACAAAGAAAAGAAAGACAGAAGAAAAGAAAGACAGAAGAAAAGAAAAACATGAAAGAAAAAAAGACAGAAGAAAAGAAAGACACATGAAAAGAAAGACAGAAGAAAAGAAAGACACAATGAAAGAAAGACAGAAAAAAAAGAAAGACAGAAAGAAAAAGAAGAAAAGACAGACAGAAGAAAAGAAAGACCCATGAAAGAAAGACAGAAGAAAAAAAACACATGAAAGAAAGACAGAAGAAAAGAAAGACACATGAAAAGAAAGACAGAAGAAAAGAAAGAAGAAGAAAAAAAAAACCCATGAAAGAAAGAAAGACAAAGAAAAGAAAGACACATGAAAGAAAGACAAAGAAAAGAAGAAAAGAAAGAAAGACAGAAGAAAAAAAGAAAGAAGAAAAGAAAAGAAAGAAGAAAAGAAAAGACAGAAGAAGAAAAAAAAACCCATGAAAGAAAAAGACATGAAAGAAAAAAGAAGAAAAGAAAGACACATGAAAGAAAGAAAGAAAGAAAGAAAAAAAGAAAGACAGAAGAAAAGAAAGAGGAAGAAAAAAAAGACAGAAAAAAAAGACAGAAGAGAAAAAAAGAAAGAAAGAAAGAAGAAAAAAAAGACAGAATGAAAGAAAGACAGAAGAAAAAAAGACAGAAAGAAAGAAAGAAAAAAGAAAGACAGAAGAAAAGAAAGACAGAAGAAAAGAAAGACAAAGAAAAAAAAGAAAGAAAATTTCAGAAGAAAAGAAAAGAAAGAAAGAAAGACAGAAAGAAAAGAAAGACAGAAGAAAAGAAAACCCATGAAAGAAAGACAGAAGAAAAGAAAAGACACAGAAGAAAGAAAGAAAAGAAAGAAGAAAAAAGAAAGAAAGAAGAAAAAAGAAAAGAAGAAAGAAAGACAGAAGAAAAGAAAGACCCATGAAAGAAAGACAGAAGAAAAGAAAGAGAAAAAAAAAAAGAAAGAAGAAAGAAAAGAAAGAAGAAAAGAAAGACAGAAAAAAAGAAAGAAAAAAAAAGACAGAAGAAAAGAAAGACAGAAGAAAAGAAAGACAGAAGAAAAGAAAGACAGAAGAAAAGAAAGACAGAAGAAAAGAAAAACACAAAAAAAAAAAAGAAGAAAGAAAGAAAGAAAGAAAGACAGAAGAAAAGAAAGACACATGAAAAGAAAGACAGAAGAAAAGAAAAACAATGAAAGAAAGACAGAAGAAAAAAGAAAGAAAAGAAAGAAAGAAGAAAAGAAAAGACCCATGAAAGAAAGAAGAAGAAAAGAAAAAGAAAGAAAGAAGAAAAAAAAAACCCATGAAAGAAAGACAGAAGAAAAGAAAATGAAAGAAAGACAGAAGAAAAGAAAGACAGAAAGAAAACAGAAGAAAAAAAGATGAAATGAAAGAAAGACAGAAGAAAAGAAAGAAAGAAAAGAAAGAAAAACAGAAGAAAAGAAAAAAAAGAAAATGAAAGAAAAGACAGAAGAAAAAAGAAAAGAACACAGAAGAAAGAAAGACAGAAGAAAAAGAAAAAGACAGAAAGAAAAAAGAAAGAAGAAAGAAAAGAAAAGAAAAGAAAAAAAGAAAAAGAAAGACAGAAGAAAAGAAAACCCATGAAAGAAAGACAGAAGAAAAGAAAGACCCATGAAAAGAAAGAGAAGAAGAAAAGACCCATGAAAGAAAGACAGAAAAGAAAGAAAGACACAAAAAAAAGAAAGAAAGAAGAAAGAAAGAGAAGAAAAAAGACAAAGAAAAGAAAGACAGAAGAAAAGAAAGAAAGACAAAAGAAAGAAGAAGAAAAGAAAAACCCAGAAAGAAAGAAAGAAGAAAAAGAAAAAAGAAGAAAAAAAGAAAAAAAAACCCAAGAAAGAAAGACACATGAAAGAAAAGAAGAAGAAAAGAAAGAAAAGAAAGACAGAAGAAAAGAAAGACAGAAAGAAAGACAGAAGAAAAGACAGAAGAAGAAAAAAAAGAAAGAAAGAAAGACAGAAGAAAAGAAAGACAGAAAGAAAGAAAAGAAAAAAAAACCCATGAAAGAAAGACAGAAGAAAAAAAAGAAAGAAAGACAAAGAAAAGAAAAAGAAAAAGAAAGACAGAAGAAAAGACAGATGAAAGAAAGAAAGAGAAAAGAAAAGAAAGAAGAAAAGAAAAGACAGAAGAAAAAGAAAAGACAGAAAGAAAAGAAAGACAGAAAAGAAAAAAGAAAAAAGAAAAAGAAGAAAGAAAGACAGAAGAAAAGACAAAGAAACAAAAGACAGAAAAAAGAAAGAAGAAAAAAAAAAGACACATGAAAGAAAGAAAGAAAGACAGAAGAAAAAAGACACATGAAAAGAAAGACAGAAAAAAAAGAAAAAAAGACAGAAAGAAAAAGAAAAAAAAACACATGAAAGAAAGACAGAAGAAGAAAAAAACAACAAGAAAGAAAGACAGAAGAAAAGAAAGACACAAGAAAGAAAACAGAAGAAAAGAAAGACAGAAGAAAAAGAAAGACAGAAGAAAGAAAGAAAGAAGAAAAGAAAGAAGAAAAAAAGAAAGACAGAAGAAAAAAGAAAAGAAAGAAAAGAAGAAAAGAAAAGACAGAAGAAAAGAAAGAAAAGAAAAGAAAGACAAAGAAAGAAAGAAGAAAAAGAAAGACAGAAAAAGAAAGACAGAAGAAAAGAAAGACAGAAGAAAAAAAGAAGAAGAAAAAACCCATGAAAGAAAGAAAAGAAAAGAAAGAAAGACAGAAGAAAAGAAAGACAGAAGAAAAGAAAGAAAGAAGAAAAGAAAGACAGAAGAAAAGAAAGACCCATGAAAAAGAGAAGACAGAAAGAGAAAGAAAAGAAGACAAAGAAAAGAAAAGACAAAGAAAGAAAGAAAAAAAAAGAAAGAAGAAAAAAGAAAGACAGAAGAAAAAAAGAAGAAAAGAAAGACAGAAGAAAAAAAAAACCCATGAAAGAAAAGACACATGAAAAGAAAGACAGAAGAAAAAGAAAGACACATGAAAGAAAGACAGAAGAAAAGAAAAGACAAAGAAAGAAATGAAAGAAAAGACAGACAGAAGAAAAGAAAAAACCCATGAAAGAAAGACAGAAGAAAAGAAAACCCATGAAAAAAAGACAGAAGAAAAGAAAAAAGAAAGAAAGAAAAGAAAAAAAACCCAAGAAAAAGAAAGACAGAAAAAAAGAAAGACAGAAGAAAAGAAAAACCCATGAAAGAAAGACAGAAGAAAAGAAAGACAGAAGAAAAGAAAGACAGAAGAAAAGAAAGACAGAAGAAAAGAAAAACCCATGAAAGAAAGACAGAAGAAAAGAAAGACAGAAGAAAAGAAAGACAGAAGAAAAGAAAGACAGAAGAAAAGAAAGACAGAAGAAAAAAAAAGACAGAAGAAAGAAAACAGAAGAAAAAAAGAAAGAAGAAAAGAAAAAAGACATGAAAGAAAAGACAGAAGAAAAGAAAGACACATGAAAGAAAGACAGAAGAAAAGAAAGACACATGAAAGAAAGACAGAAGAAAAGAAAGACAGAAGAAAAGAAAAACCCATGAAAGAAAGACAGAAGAAAAGAAAGACACATGAAGAAAAAAGACAGAAGAAAAGAAAAACCCATGAAAGAAAGACAGAAGAAAAAGAAAAGACAGAAGAAAAAGAAAAACCCATGAAAGAAAAGAAAGAAGAAAAAAAGAAAAGAAAAAGAAAGAAGAAAAGAAAGACACATGAAAGAAAGACAGAAGAAAAGACAGACAGAAGAAAAGAAAGACCCATGAAAGAAAGAAGAAGAAGAAAAGAAAGACCCAAGAAAAGAAAGACAGAAGAAAAAAAAAGACCCATGAAAGAAAGACAGAAGAAAAGAAAGACCCATGAAAAGAAAGACAGAAGAAAAGAAAGACACATGAAAGAAAGACAGAAGAAAAAAAGAAATGAAAGAAAGAAAGAAGAAAAGAAAGACAGAAGAAAAGAAAAACCCATGAAAGAAAGACAGAAGAAAAGAAAGACAGAAGAAAAGAAAGACAGAAGAAAAGAAAGACAGAAGAAAAGAAAGAGCCAAAGAAAAGAAAGAGCCAAAGAAAAGAAAGAGCCAAAGAAAAGAAAGACAAAAGAAAGAGCCAAAGAAAAGAAAGACAAAAGAAAGAGCCAAAGAAAAGAAAGACAAAAGAAAGAGCCAAAGAAAAGAAAGACAAAAGAAAGAGCCAAAGAAAGGCAGAATAAAAGAAAAAGAAATAAGAACGAATCAAAGAAAGGAAAAAAAGAGCGAACAGGTGACAGAAAGAAAGTATGACACAAACACAGAACAAAAGAAAGAAAGATAGAACCAAATAAAATAAGAACGAATCACATACAAAGAAAGAAGAAAATAAGAGTGAATACAGGTCAGAAAAAAGTATGCAACAAAGAACCAAAGAAACATAAAATGAAACAAAGAAAGAAAGAAAAAAGAAAGAAAGAAAGAAAGAAAGAAAAAAGAAAAAGGAAGTTGATAATGACAAAAGACGGAATTAAAGTCTGAATGCCAATAAAGATAAAGAAGAACACTTCAAGTTACTGTTCGGATGCTGAGAAAGATAACGTCAAACCAGTTTATTCTGTAAAGATATTGATCTTACAGCCATAAGTCCGTGGCACTTTAAATTAGCAGTGAAATGGCTATTAAAATCGTCGTTACTGTTAAGCCAAATATACTCGTCCTTCAGTCCACCTACTTATATATCTTCCTTTATCTACCAAACAGGCTTAATGTTTTCAGAGACTGTATCTCAACAAAGTTTTCTTCAGGAACTGGAGCCAGCAGATAGAGACAAATAACTCATGTCTTAAATCTTGAGATATATTTTTGCTATCCAGACATTTATTTACCACCTCAAAGCAGTAAAATTCATGTACCCACCCAGTACGGAACAGGACTTGATTCTTTAAAGGATACGTCCTCTAGAAATTGCCCATTGCCCTTGGCCTTTACGGCAGTCATCAGAGTGCACTCATGAGTTTATCTCTCTTGGTGCGGTAGGGAGGTGGTGACTGGAATAGGGATCATCAGTCTCCAAACTCGTGTTAACCTCTAGTGTAGTTCGTCCAAGAAAAGGTTTCCTCTACATATAACCGGTTGCTCGTTAATAGGTTGGTTGATTTTACGAAAGATCAATCATTGTTGGATTATTTAAAATCGAAATCTGTTTTCATTATACATGAGTCTATAGGCAAAAATTGGTCAGGTTGAAATTAAAGTTGGCTTTATGTTTGGGGTTAATACGTTTGCCACTGACATGACATGGAAATATTATATTGAATCAATTGCCAGGCATGTTGCTAAGAAGCTTGGTTCACTGTATTGTGCTAGAAAATAATTCTCGCTAAAATCTATCTCATATTTATAAGTCTACCATTAGACAATGCATTGGATATTGCTGTCACATCTGGTCTGGTATTTTTTGCTGTGTATTTAGAAATTCTAGATAAAATCCGAAAAAGAATCTACAATATTATTGGTTTGGATCTGGCATCTCGGCATCAGTAACTTCCTCACCGCCTTGACGTAGTTTCTCTGTACCTTTTCTATAAATATTTTCATGGAAATTGTTCTCATGAGCTTTCCTCTTTGGTAGCGCGACTTTACGAATTAAAGCGCATTACTAGATTGGCATTTAGTTCTCATCATTTTACAGTTGAAATGGCTCGACTTAACCGTAAGTTCTACGCTAACAGTTTCTTCTCTTGCACTTTTTGCTTGTGGAACTCTCTTACGTTTTCTTGCTTTCCAGCTAATTTTGATCTCCAAAAGTTTAAATGCAGTTATCCAATCTTCTTAATTGCTGTTCGTTTATTTTTCTCTCCTTAGTACCTTTTTCTCATATTATTTTATATTCAGTAACCACCTTGCATCTTAGTGGCTTTATTGCCTTACTTGGGGTGAAAAAAGTAAATAGTGACCGGTTTTAGCGACCAATTTATACTAGAATATACAGATAAATATCGGTCGGGTTTATATTTAAATCTTTAGGTAAATATTGGTAGGTTAATACGTGTGTTTAAAGCTGTTTATCGGGTTTATATTTGAGCCTATAGATAGATATTGGCAGTCCAGATTAGAGTTTGCAAGGATCATCCCTAGTAGGTGTCTTCTTTTGGATGACACTTTCTACAGGATACGCAATTTGGCGTATTCAAAGGTAGTCTAAAGGAGAAGGGTAAATTGAAATTACAGTGGAACCTCGGTTCCGAATATAATTCGTTCATGAAGGCTGTTCGTAACCCGAAATGTTTATAAACCGAAACTATTTTTCCAATAGGAATACATGTAGAGAAAAAATAACAGTACATTAAAATTGGAAAAGAAAAGCACGGCACAACACACGAATGTATACAACGCGGCGGTCGAATCAGAAATGATTCCGTTCGAGTTAACACGGTTCGGCTATGTTGTCCAAGAACCGAGGCATTTTCATTTCGAATTTTCTGTTCGAAAACCGATTTCTTCGACATGTGAGACGTTCGAGAGCCGAGGTTCTACTGTACTAACTTTAACCATACCATGTGGTATTAAGACTATTAGTCGTATCTCTTTTTTTTTTATTACACATTGAATGTACTTTTCAATCTATATTTATTCAACACCCACAGAGCCCGCTTGTGGTTTATACTGCACTGAGCGGAGTTTAATACAGTTTCTGGGAGAGAGCGCATTATCTGGCGCGATCAACAATCTGAACAAGGCCATTACGTTCAAAGCCTCGGTCACGATGACCTATGATTTCGTGCACGCACAACCATTGACGGCTCTCAAATAGTTCCGGCTAAGTTCACTCACAGGACTTTGTTCAACTCGTGATATGGTTTTCAGACACTTTCCAAAGGTGCCGCACGCTGAAATCGCCTAAGTTCACCTCAAACAAGGCGATAGTGCCACTAAGACGCAAAGGGCTACTGGTTGTAAAAGAGAATGAAAAAGTCTGAAGGAGCCAGAAACAGGCAACAAGGAATAACATTCTACTCCTGTTCAAAAAATAAAACAAAAAAAAAAAAACACATGGAGTAATGTAAACTAGTCGATTGGCGAATCTATTTACTCCTATTGAGGAAAATATAAATAAATAAATAAAAATAAATAGTAAATAAAATTTCATTGTTTAGGCGGAGACGTTAAAAGAATAGAGTTGGAGTAGAAAAAAAGGGGATAAACCTCAACTCCTGGCCAGTTGTATGTTGCATGCTCATGAGTAAGAAATACTAAGAATTTATTCTTCGCTGTTAAAAAAATAAACTTTCTTAAAAAATATTGTTTACCATGAAGTCCTATAAAATTAAATGTAAAAAATTATTAAATTGCAAATCAGCTTATTCAGATTTCATCAATTGCTTTGCGAAATTGAACGTAGAGTTTTTATATCTCGACAAAAATGTCAGGAATGACTTGAACAATACTAAATACCGTGAGGATTTCAACCAACGTTAGCGAGTTGCAAAAAAAAAAAAAAAAAAATCTAGATTGTGTAAAATCGTTATTGCCAATAACTTCCAGACTAAATCTAGAAAACTTCATCTGAATTTTTTATTTTATTTTGAAAAAAAATTATATATTTATATAATTCTCTAAGTCTCATTCCAGAAAACAAGAACAAACGTAGAGCCAAAATAATTGTGTATTTAAAATCAAAATGAAAATAAAAATAATTACAATAAAATAATAGGTATAAAAATATTCATAAGAGGATTGGGTAAAAAAAAAAAAAAAAAAAAAAAAAAGTAAAATCGAAGCAGGAGATTTTAAAACTTAACTTTTAACATCTGAACCTCTCTCACACACACACACACACACACAAACACACATCTCAGGAAGGCTGAAAAACCTGAAACGTATTGGGAGGATCAAAGATGCATTCCAAAAGCTAAGCAGAGTATTAAGAGACAAAATAATTTCGTTAGAAACAAAGTAAAGAGCACTAAACTGCTACCTGATATCTGTCCTCCTCTATGGCAGCGGATGCTGGACAAACTCCTCAAAAAAGAAGAGACATGAAGCAACAGAAATATGGTTCTACAGAAAGATGCTGAACATAATATGAACCAAACAACAAGGTTTTGGAGAAAATGGAAACAAAGAGGAAACTTATACTTAACTTCAGGAAGAAGCAATTGAAATTTCTGGGGCATGTAATGAGGAAGGAAGGTTTAGAAAACCTGATACTCACAGGATGGATAGAAAGAAAGAGGGACAGAGTAAAAGCAGTGCGTAACATACCTGATCTTGAGCAAATGGATAAATGGGAAAAATAACAAAAAGACAAAACTTATTAAAATGACAGGAAGATGTGGAGCGCCATGATCGCCTACGTCCTACCGGAACATGTCACATAAAAGATGAATTCTCCTTCCCAGTATTGTCTTAATGCTTAATAGCCACTAATAAAATTAAACAAATTAAAAAAAATATTTTGGTAACTATACAACGTATTTTTTTTCATTAAAAATTTAAGTAAAAGAATTGTCTTTGACGTTTTTGTTTCTCCCAGCAACATACAAATTACCAATTAGGGCGCCTCGGCGTGGTGTAATGGTTAGCAAGCTGGTCTTGCTAAAACTGTTACAACTGAATAGTGAGTTCGTTCCCTACTGGGTACCCCATACTTTCGGCCATGTGCCACATCTAAGCCTCGCTTATCAAATCAATACAAATTACCAATTTGGGAATAATAAGTCCCACTTTGGGAATTGATGGGGTTGATTAATATATAAGAGCTTGGTATTTCCTTATTTGTAATTGCACCCATGTAAGGTTGGAACCGAAATCTAGCCCTGCCTCGGATAGAGGAGAAGGCTGTTTATTTTTTTTTATCTGCCCAACAATTAAATTTTCTTATTAGATATTCCTTTGTATTTCTTGCCTAATCGAAAGTTACATTTAAAGTGGGAATCGCAGTGTGATTGGCTGAAAGGAAACGAATATGATTGGCTAAGCGATAATAAAGCATCAGAAACTTGCTTATTAAATTTTACATATGTATTGTCAATTATTGGTTGTTATTTTTCTTTATTAATCTAAAGTTAACAGAAGCAACACGAACCGCAAATTGTTCCTGAACACTGAGTGCATAACTGGTGTTCAGTTGACAGGCTTACCAGTATCGCTATTCCCACTGCTTTAGAGATAAGAATTCCACG